GTTGTTTATATTTCTTTGTTATCACTTCCCAGTTGTTTATGTTTCTTTGTTATCACTTCCCAGTTGTTTATATTTCTTTGTTATCACTTGTTTATGTTTCTTTCTGTTATGGAAATTAACTCTGCTAAATGTTTTCCACAAGTAATGAAAACAACAAATAAAAAATGCATTGTTTTCTAATAATAATGACAAAAATCCCAACAACTTGTTACAGGTGATTATTGTTTACAAAATAATCTAGGAAAATAACAAATCTTGCCGTTAAGATCAATATTTGTTTTTTACAAATTTTTAAGTCATTGTTTTTTGATTTTGATAGAGAAGTTGTTGAACGGAGTACTGTAAAAATAGATTTGGTGTTGTCGTACTGTCGCTGTACCCTCTTTGATCAATCTTTACTGGAACACGTGCCATTTTTCCAGGTAAGTATATATAGTTATCATATTTGAATGAGTTGTGAATTAGATAAATAATCAGGCCATTTATTAATATTCAGGCCTTTCCAGTAGCTCATCGGTAAATCAGTAGAATTGTGATGTTAAAAGGCGGGTTTCGATACCCGTGGTGGGCAGACCCAGCAGATTAGATGGTTACAAAGTTGACTCATTGAGCAGAAACGCGAGCCAGATTATCATCTTGTTTTAGATTTAACTGCTTTAAATTTCTTTTATTATCTTCCTAATATTACAGAATAAACTCAAACTTTTCTACTTGACAAAACCTAGTTCCAAAATCAAACTGGTAATCTGGAATTTACAAGCCGGCCGGCACAGCTCGATAATCCCGCCAGTGTTTCAGCCTTAACAACCAGTGAGTGGAGAACTGGGACGCATGGCAACCAGTAGAGCTGGATAAATCTATTACCTTATAAGCCGAGTGTCAGATTTAAATTGTGTCTCAGTATTCTCCATTTTCAAAAAACGCTAACAGAATTTAAGCTTACAACAGTACGTTTCTTCGTGTTTTTTTTTATTCCTTCAAGATTTTTTGACTTAATACATTACCTATGGGCACCATATATTTAAATATTAGCAACCTACACGGCTTCCATCAAATATTACTAATGATTATTTTGATTTTTCTAACTTTCATGGGTTTCTAAGCGAATTTAAGAATGAATGTACTTGATTTATTTATAACTAGTTTAAATTTATAAATATTGGTTTCGGAAATAGCAGTTTTAACTATTAACATGTGATTTAGCCACTTTGGGCTAGACTACGAGCTTTGGTTTAGCCAATTAGAGCTAGTCTACCAGCTTTGGTTTAGCCAATTAGAGCTAGTCTACCAGCTTTGGTTTAGCCAATTAGAGCTAGTCTACCAGCTTTGGTTTAGCCAATTAGAGCTAGACTACCAGCTTTGGTTTAGCCAATTAGAGTTAGTCTACCAGCTTTGGTTTAGCCAATTAGAGCTAGTCTACCAGCTTTGGTTTAGCCAGTTAGAGCTAGTCTACCAGCTTTGGTTTAGCCAATTAGAGCTAGTCTACCAGCTTTGGTTTAGCCAATTAGAGCTAGGCTGTGTGCTTTGATTTAGCCAATTAGAGCTAGTCTACCAGCTTTGGTTTAGCACAGTTAGAGCTACTCTACCAGCTTTGGTTTAGCCAATTAGAGCTAGTCTACCAGCTTTGGTTTAGCCAGTTAGAGCTAGGTTGTGAGCTTTGATTTAGCCAATTA